CTGCCTCCTGCACACCCCCTACTGGGGATGTGCCCGCAACCAATGTACATGCCCTTTACTGGAATGGAACCTGGGACCTTTCAGTCCACAGACCGATGCTCTACCACTGAGCCAAACCGGTTTCGGTAGCAAGATTTTTTTTTTTTTTTTAATCAAGGGCCTTCTTTGAACCATGATATCTACAGAGTCCCATAAACAGCTGAAGTGCTCCAGTGTTATTCTGAAAATAAGAATTTCTGTATTAAAAGACTCCAGGTCCTATGCACACTCTCAGAATGACCCACTTCTCAAAGCACTCTGGCACCTTCGAGTGTTTCTCCCAACTTCTTCATGGTCTCAAGTACAAATTTTATCTAATTACACCATCACTTACAAAAATCTTTAGTTCCCAACATCCCTCTGCTTCAACCCATGACACAGAACTTTGCTTTAGAATAGGGGTGTCGAACTCAATCAGAGAAGGGGCCAAAATCTAAAATCCAGCCTAAATCGCGGGCCAAATGGTTTACTGAACAGTCATAAACTGTCACTGTGATGGAAACGCAGCGGAGTGCAGTGATGACAGCGCGGTGTGGGCCACATTGCAAGGCCTGGCGGGACGGATTTGGCCCGCGGGCCTTGTGTTTGACACATGTGCTTTAGAACAACACTGTAAAATTGATCCCATTGAGATAATTCTGAAGGAAAGCTGTCTCACCTTCCTCAGCCAAACGTAACTGGCAATACCCAATCCCCCCACACAATACTGAAAACTGTCACTTCTCACTTCATATATAAGTGAGAACTCAAGGTATGCTGTAACTAATCCTACTCCTTTCAGAATAACCCACATTTACCAGGTACTTGTAACATTTTTGAAATATCAGTATAACCTGGTTTCTTAATTCACAGATTAATGGAAAGTGATACACTGAAGAAAGTTGTGAGAGATCTCATGGCATTACAATTCTCTGCAGTGCTTCTTTGCTTGTGACAATAAGTGGGAGGGATTTACATTCAGGCTGCAAAGACTGGTTGACCCCTGACCACTGGGAGGGGCAGCAGTGCAGGGGCCCACACCACAGAGCAGGAATTATTTCAGAGGGGCTTTGGTGCCTGCTAAGACTGTCACGTGGATGTGTTGCTTGTGGAGATGGTTAGTTGGTGCTTTGACAAGGTATCAAGCTATCCACTGGGTATGTTGGCTTGCTTATGTTCTGCCCAGGGTTCAACAGCATGAGCTACAAAGAGATATACAGATGGCTGCTACTTGTGCTGGGCTCCTTTTTAATAAATTAATTGTCCATACATGTATGGATTTATTTCTGGCCTCTCCATTCTGTTCCATTGATCTGTCTGCTGCATTAAACTTCCTTTAATCAGACATAGCACTGAAATGTCCTCAAGATTCTAGAACAATTATAGCAAAGAAGAACAGCAGAGCTCTAGCTGGTTTGGCTCAGTGGATAGAGCATTGGCCTGAGGACTAAAGAGTTCCAGGTTTGATTCCAGCCAAGGGCACATGCCTAGGTTGTGAGCTAGATCCCCACTAGGGGGCATGCAGAAGACAGCTGATCAATCATTCTCTTTCATCAATGATGTTTTTATCTCTCTCTCCCTCTCCTTTCCTCTCTGAAATCAATGAAAATACATATTAAAAAAGTAGAACAGCAGCTATAGTGTATACAATTAAATTCTATGTGATCTGATTGTAAAAAAAAAAAATACAAATCTCAGTAAACTATAAACACCCAAAGGACAAACAAAACAAAACAAAACAAAAAAACAAAAAAAAAAACGCCACTGAAGTTCAAAAGATATATAGTTTTAGTATCAGATTGCCTTCTGTAGTCTGTTTTAATTTCTATTTATTATAGAGAATTATGGAAACACTTAAAATATTGCCACTATAATGAGGTTAAATTTGGCTCTTGAAAAAGTAAATAGTTTTCATAGTATTAAAAAACCATTTACACAAACCAAATTAGCCTACAATCTCTAGCGAGGTAGGCAATGTTGACTCTACAATGAAGGAATCTGAAGGATAAAAGGGCAATTGCTTTATGCACAGTCCTTCAGTACTATAGGGACTTGGAAACAAACACCATCAGAATTGTCTCTTCAGCGCAAGAAAAACTTGTAAAATAAGAAATAATGTCGGATAATTTAAAAATCTAACTGAGATTGAAACATTTTAGGTGGTGGGAGCAACCAACAACTTTTCAACAATGTTAGTGATGTTTCACATGTAAATTCTATTGATTTCCATGAAAAAAAAAACACGAATACTAACATTCCCATTTTATTAATGGAGTGCTCAAAAGCTCAAATGACCTACTTAAGATTATGCAATGAGTCAGAAATAGAAATAGCTACTATGTCTTCTCAGCAGTATTCCTTAAATGAAAAAACAAAATCATCATTTTGAGTTAATTAAAATTGGAATGCTATAAAAATGAAGTTATCAAGAAGCATGATTTTGAAAAAGAAAAAATATACTTTATAGCATATGTATAAGTATATTGACCTTGTATATATGTATATCTTTTGTCATTTTAACTCGAAGGGATATGACCTTAATTTAGGTTGGAAGGTTTTCTGAAAGCAGCAGCAACAGTTTTTCACCTGGGCAAGTAAATATGCCAGGGAGCCACCATTCATCTCTGTAATTCTTTTCCACAATAAATGTACATAAAGAACTGAATAAACATTGAAACAAATCTTGCCATATTCAGCCAATCTCTCCAGGGTCTTATGACTGGATTGAAATAAAGCACTGTCCAGATTTGTGCCATGCTTTAACCAACATAATATAATCAAATGGCAAAAACTCTAGAAATCTAATTATGAAGAGATCTGTAGAAATTAAAGGGGAAATATTTAATAATAAAGACAGGAATTAACTACAGAGTAAATTATTTCTGAGTACCAGAGATGAATCTTTCAGATAGCCAGGTGAGTCCATCCTGCCCCAGAAGCACAGACGGAAGCAAATGATTTGCCCTTTGTGGCAGTAGCATTTATAATTGCAGCACTGCACAATCTGAATGAGGACAAATACAATTAGAAATAAGCAGATCTTGAAAATAAAGGATAGAGATTTGGTGCTCAAACATTGAACTTTGAGGAATTACTGGTATCAGGAAAAGAAATTCTTCCAAATATTTTATCAGCCCTGATGGCATGCACAACAATCTCAGCATTACCACATTTGTGCCATTCCACTACCTTCTTGTCATCTCTGATGGATCTAGAGTTTGACTAGAAAGACATGGGGTCCCATGAGAACTGGGCTGAGTCACAATAAGGGCAGCAATCCAAAAGAAGCTTCAGGAATGCATTACTGAGGTCCCAGACCCGCTTCTCAGCCCTGCCTCCCAGAAGCATCACTGCTTAGCTTTTTTGGATTGTGTGTAGCTCCATCCAATAGCTCCATTTTCTGTTTGAGTTACCCAGAGTAAAAAATGACTTTGCTTAATACTGTAAAATGTCACAGGACAATGTGAGATGTGAATGGATGTGAGCGACAGGAAAGGAATAAACAAATGAAGCTATACAAAATGCTCACTCCAACAACAAAGGCCCAAACACCACCAAAAAACATACATCAGTCTTATCCACTCCTAATTAGGATATAGTTAGTATTTGCACTTAAATTAATGGTTTACATATGACACATGTTATTTTACAGTGTATATCTAGTTCTTTTCAAAGGATTAACCAGATTAATCCTTCAGTGCTTAGAGAGGCCAGACCTAACAAAATAATGCCCAAACCAGACCTATTGCTATCTGGAATTTTTAAAGTTATGCAGATAATGTATATGTACAGTAAACCAAGTAAGTTTTAATAAAGATCATAGGGAATAAAAACACAATGAAATGAGTTGTTCCTTTATTTTGAAACAATCTGATTAGATGATGCTTATCTTAAAGACAAGTGATTTGGGGAAGCCAAAAGGGCAGTGATTTAGTTGATATACATCTGAAAGACAGTTTTCTTGGACATTTGTGCCCCTTCAATGTATATCATGCTAGCAAAATACATTTTATAGGACGACTAATTTTTTAAAGTAAGTTATAAGAATATTAACCATTCTGTGCATTTGTATATTCCCATAATTTTTAAGGAAAGCTGACTGTTTTATTGTACTGCACAGAATAAAAGTATAATCAAATACTTGAGAGCCATTGAAAAAATAGTAGCAGCGCTGTGAAACTGAAACACACCCACATTCATATTTAAGGAACTACTAGCCTTGTTCTTTCAATGGATTCTCCTTGTATTTGTTTTCATGTGATCTTTATATATAATTGCTGGTGAACTATAGAGGCTTGCCACCTCTCTATGGTTTATATTTTGTAACCTAATTACAGTAAAAGTAAATGTCTTGAGTCCAAATTTCATTTAACATATATGCATTCTGAATTATTGACATGGTGAAGTATAATATTATTCATTTGCTAGAACTTAATTATGTTTTATTATGATAAAGCTTTAGTAATGATTCTTCATATTCTTGATACACCAGAAAAGAATAGAAAATATCTGTCATTGTTTAATTCTACCAAATGGTGATATAATATTGTTTATTGCTCAAATGTAACTCCTTTCATAATGAGAAATTAAAAATTATTTTTACTTTACAAATTGTTTAGCGAAATTAACTAATTTTAAAGTTTATTTAAAAACCCATATAACACTATAGGATAACATTACAAAGCCATATTTCTAAAAGTCCAAATAATTAAATTCTCTTTGAAATGTGGGCTAGAAGTATATATTTTATTTTATGAATGCATCAATGAAAATAACAGGCATAGCTATTGTTCAAAGATAAATGGAGAAAGTTAAAAATTAAGCCCCACCCATTTCTTCTGACTTTAATGTAAAAAGAGCAAAGCCTAGCCAGTGATGCTTAGTGGTTGAGCATCAATCTATGAACTGGGAATTCACAGTTTGATTCCCAGTCAGGGCAAATGCCTGGGTTGTGGGGGGTGTGCAGGAGGCAGCCCATCAGTGATTCTTCTCATCATTAATGTTCCTGTCTCTCTCTCCCTCTTCTTTCCTCTCTGAAACCAATAAAAACATATTTAATAGCAGGAACACAATTGATGCACTAATGTTCCATCTTACACTCAAAGATACTATGGTTATAATTTATGACATTTTAACCAATAAATTGGAAATTTAACAGTTTACATCATAATATTGAAATTTTTTTTTCTCAAAGGAGTTTCACATATGTCATCTCCTATTTAATAACAAATAAACCATGAATTCCTGCAAGTACTATTCCCAATTTAAAATGAGAAATTTGAAGTTTAAATTGTTTGATGTTCTTAAAACTGTTCACAGCTGAGATACATACTCTAGTTTTTTTATTCTAAATTCTGGGCCCCCCTCCCTCCCACTTGTCATAATAGAACACCTAATGTTGCCTCTCCTTAAACCATTAAAAACACACACACAACTATCCTTTTGAAATTTCCTTCATAATCAATTTATAAGCCATGAAAAAAAAACTAACTTATGACAATATACCAAAGATCTCTAAGATTTTTCTGAGAGGTAACTATTCCACCCCTCTCCCCCACACCCAAAACCTTGAGATTATAGAAATGGGTAAAATTTGATGTCAGAAAAATTCCACAGTCACAGAGATAGGTAGCTCTTCTCCTCCCCCCACCCCCACCATCCAGTCATCTAGTAAGTAATTTAATGAGTATTTATTGTTTTGTCTACTCTGTACAAAATGCTGCACGTAGTGATGACAATTAGTAGAGAACAGACAAACATTATTTCACTGAATTTACAATGAGTGTCATGGCAAATAAGAACAAAAATAAGCAATTAAAATAAAATGTGATAAATAATCTGACAGACATGATACTGTTTCTAGAAGATAATATTGGAAGTGCTTTCAAACTATGGAAAGAATAAGTGTGCTATAATTCCCACCATATATAGTGCAAAAAGAGAGTAGAGAGTCTAAGCATATTGATTTTGGAGTTACATTCTTTGGACTTCAAAATCTTTATTCTTAGCTCAGTAACTTCAGAGTTTGAAGTTCATTCATTTTATAAAAACTCAGTGTCTTCTCATAAAAACAGAAATATCTCAAAAGTGTAACCAGGGGGAGAATGCATTGAGAGGAGATTAACGCTTCCAGGAAATTACACAAGATTCTCTCTGTGGGAAGTCCGGAAGAACCCAGAGCATAGAGTTGACTAGTCCTCCAGCCATCCTAGAGTGTCACTGCTAAGTCTACAACAGGTGGGAGTGGAGGTTTTCTCCTCTCTACAGGAATATGATGCAGTGACAGAGGAATGAGAAACGAAAAGAAAAGAGAAAAAGAAAAAGAAAAAGGAGGGCGGAGGGGAACCACAACATCCTGGCTTCACATACGACTGTTTATTATTATCTTTCCTTTTGAAAGCTGATTTTATAACGTGTTTCTGCAAAGGTAATTATATGGAAATGTAACTTTCTGGTGACTTACCTTATCACTGAGATACAGTTTGGGAATAATTTGGCCAAGGAGCCTAAACCAGTCCTACCGAATCAAAATTCCATGGGTGAGGCCCAGAATTACGTATTTTAAAAGTTTCCAAAGTGACTCCTATAATCAGACATTATTAGTGAGATTGCTGGTTGCTCTTCTCCCCCCATTCCCTCCTTTGCCCTTTTAGGACAAAAAACCCTGATTTCCACTGCCTCTTGGCTACCCAGAGTAAGAACCACACTCTCCAGCCTCTTGTTCTGTTGAGTGTCACCATGGACTACTTTTTATGCAATAGACTTATAGAAACTGACTCCTCTGGATTTGTCTTTTCAGAAGAGGCTATATTACTTCTTTATCTTCCCCTTCCCCGATGCTTGACTGATGGTATAAAGCCTGGAGTTCTGTCATTTACCAAGAGGACAGGAAACAGGGAAATCAGAGAGAAATAAAGGGCAGAAGCTGGTCTCTGGATGATCTCCTGGAAACAAATAACCCTACCAGCCCTGGGCAGTCTGCCTCCTGACTATTACTAGGAGAGACAAATAAGCATCTATCATGTTTAAGTGACAATTATTTGACTAGTCATTAATTAATATAGACAACTCTCAGAGTTGTTTTTTAAATCAATAATGTAAAGTACAAATTGAATTCTTGTTTTTGCTTTAATAGTTTATATGCAAATTTTAACGTGCATCAATCTTGCTCTTTTAAATTTAATTAATTTATTTTATTTTTTCCTCACTGGAGGATATCCTTTTCATTGATTTTAGTGAGAGGAAGGGAGAGAGAAAAGGAGAGAGACATCGATGTGAGAGAGGAACATCTATCAATGGCCTCTCCTATGCACCCTGAGTGGGAATCAAACCTACAACCTATGTATGTGCCCTGACCAGATTTTGAACCCACAACCTTTCAGTGCACGGGACAATGCCCAACTGAGCCAAACAGGCCAGGCTCTATCTTGCTTTATAAGGACAGTCTTTGAATGTGAAAGCATTTCCACATTATCTACATTTAGAAGATGCTTCTCTTCTGGTCTGCCAGAGCAGCTAGTAGCTATTTTTCTCTGAAATCTATACCAAACCTTAGAAAAAAGAATGCTTGGAATAATCACCGAGTCTCTTAAATAAAAGAATAGCCTGATCAGAAGGTTCTTACTGTCTTTTTGAATCCTTGTAGCATATTTTTCTGAAGATTGTGGAAGTGTAATAAAAGGTTCAGATTAAGACCAAAATGAGTTTTTTTTTTTACTTCAGATTATTTTTATTGAACCAAATTGTGTCAAAGGCAAAAAAGGCAACAACTGTCAAGAAGAATTTTAAATCATATTTGAGTAGTTTGCTATTCAATGAAGAGTAGTTTAAAACTAAAAATCTCTCTCAGTGTACTAGACTAAGTAAGCATCATTCCTACAATTCATAAAGCAGAAAGCCAGCACTTATGGAACACATATAAAAGGAAATTTGGAAAATACTGCCTCACCAGCCTAGGAGACTTTTTGATTATTTTCCACAAACTATCAGGAAAATGAATGAATTTAAAAGAACACAGTGCCTCAAAACATGGTCATTCCATTTCCAAGGGGTAATTTATATTAGTTACATGTGAAGGGGGAAAATTGGAGTTATTTTTCAAAGTTCTTTAAGTGCTGAGAAATTTGATACACTTGCTACTTTCTAGTACTTCTATGGAAAAAGAGATATCTAATATTAGAAATTAAAATATTGTTGGATGTCACCACTGTCAATTATTTTAGTTATAAACGAGAGAGACCAGATAGCAGTGACAAACGAGGGATTTTATGTAGATGACCTCAAGCTGTTCTTTTCTAGCTCTAACTTTCATGATTCTATGACTCATGTGTGTATAATGAATGTATAAATTTTGCATGTTTCTTTTAAACCCCAAACAAAAGTAGCCTTGTGACGCCACACCAGACATTACCAAGTGAAATCTTGCATGTGGGAAGCCCTGGGAGTTTTTGAGCGTACAGGCCTGCCTTCACAAAAGTAGGTGACCATTTTTAACTTTTTGAGGAAAATCCATACTGTACTCCACAGTGTCTGAACCAGTTTGCATTCCTACAAGCAGTGCACAAGGGTTCCGTTTTCTCCACATCCTCCCCAGCACTTGTTTGTTGATGTGTTGATGATAGCCATTCTGACAGGTGTAAGATGGTAGGTACCTCATTGTTGTTTTGGAACTCCCATTTGACCCAGTAATCCCACTTCTAGGAAAGTATCCTAAGAAATCAGAAACACCAATCAGAAAGGATATTTGCACCCCTATGTTCATAGCAGCACAATTTACAATAGCTAAGATTTGGAAACAGCCTAAGTGCCCATCAGCAGATGAGTGGATTAAAAAATGGTGATAAATCTACACAGTGGAATACTATGCTGCTATAAAAAAGGAATGTTTACCATTTGCAACAGCATGGATGGACTTGGAGAGCATTATGCTTAGTGAAATAACCCAGTGAAAGAAAAATATCATATGATCTCACTTAAATGTGGGATATAACGAACAACATAAACTGATAAACAAAAATATATTCAGAGACATAGAAATACTAAACAGACCTTTCAACCTCAGATGAAAGGCAAAGGAGAGTGTGGGGTGGGGGGGTGGGAGTGGCCAGGAAGGGGTCAATTGGGGATAAAGGAGACATATGTAATACTTTAAACAATTAAAAAAAAGTAGGTGAACACGTGGGCAGAATTCTGTGCAGTTCCTTCACAGGACAAAAATTGGGCCTCTCCAGCTTGAAGGAGTCCAGGCATACAGCACACACATAATACCTAGGAAGACTTCTGCATTCACAATAAAAACCAACTTAATTTTCAAGCTTCATAGCAGTGCCCACTTATATGATCTTAGTCTGATGCCATCTAATCTAGGAACCTGAAAAATTTTATGAATTGCTTTTAAAAATAAATTTACAAGGACATTATTTCATCCCAAAGATTTGTATGTGATATAGTTCACGTATCTAATGAAAGCATAGTCAATAACCCACACAAGGGTCTTTCCTTTTTCTTTTATATTAAACTAGAGGCCTGGTGCATGAAAATTCATGCACTGGAGGGAGGTGTCTCTCAGCCTGGCCTTCCCCCTCTCACAGTCTGGGAGCCCTCAGGGGCGGGAGGCAAACCAGTGATCAGGGGAAGGTGACACCTTTGCTGCTGCCATTACTGGCAGCACAAGCCTCAGCCGGCCCTGGTTACCTGAGCCTTGCACAGTCCTGGGCACCTGGGCAGCTGCCATCAGAGGCTTGCCTGCACCTCAGGCTTACCCTGGGTGGCTGGGGTCAGAGGGGATTGGGGGACTCTGCAGGCAGGTATGCAGAGCAGCTATGTGCCTGCCAGCCCAGTGGGGCTGAAGTGACTGGATGCCATCATCTTGTGGCTGTGGGAGCTATCATCTTTGAGGGCATGGCAGTTAATTAGCAGATTCCCTCCTTATTGGCTGTAGGCGCTGCCATATTTGTGAGAGTGTGATAGTCAATTAGCATATTCCCTCTTTATTAGACAGGATTCTAACTTTATGGATACCCCCAAACCTCATTTAATAGTTTTTGTTTAATTTCTTTTTGGCTAGTCAAGGCTTTTTAGAAGTTAGAAACGAAAGAATCTATGTTTATTAAATACTTAAATAGCTAACAAATTGGAAGGGGAGCGAGGAGGGAGGTGAAATGAAAAAGAGAGCCTAGTTCCAGGGAATCTGCTACATAAGTTCTCCACATCCAGAATAAGGACAAAATAGCAAATGTGTTTGAAATTGCCTCTCAAGTTTCAGAAAATGTGCAGACAAATTTAGCATAACTCTAGTACTTACTCAGAACAAGTCAAATAATGATTTTCTGATTCATTTGTAATTTGAAAAATCATTACAGATCATTTACCACTAATCCCACTATAGAGAACATTTATTCTTTCCCTGAAACATTGTCAGTAACTCAGGCATTGGTGGCATATATTGTGCAAAAACCCCCACTAAAGAACAAAACAAAAACAGTTTTGCAACAGAACACATGTAAAGCTGAACCCAGGCCTACTGGAAACAACTGGGGTTCACAGGAAAGACCCCATACTTGACTCCAACAACTCATTATAGAGCAGTTGCACAGCTGATTATTTGACCCAATTCTCTAAAACCTGCTCATTATTTCTCAGATTCACTTTCCATCCTTATTTCTCACAGTATCCAGCTTCAGCATTTTGAGGTTTGAAGTAGATTATTAACTATTCATTGTGACCTCTTATTAAAAAGAGTCAAGTTAGTTCAGGTGGTTTGACAAACCTAATTCCTATGAACAGCTAGAAGCAAACTGAATTACTTTATAGTGCTGGTTCTATCATGCCTAGACAAGATAGCTAAGCCAGAACTTGGTGTTTTGTTAGTGAATTGTTACTTTAGGCACAATTAGACACAGAGCTTGGAGTACTGACACAAGATTCAAGCAAACGGGATTCTAGGCTGATCCAACCACTCCTTCATTATTCATTGAGAAAAAGCATTTAATCTTTTTGAGTTTAAGTATCTTCCATTGTCCAATAGAGGAACACTTTGCATTTTTCTCGTCAGAAAACTTGGTTTAAAGATATATTCATGGTGCACAGAAAACACACACACACACACACAAAGAAAGAATGCAGAAATCTGAAGTCACATGATTCAAAGCCCCAAGGAACCTTCAATAAACCAATGCATTCCATGACCAGATTTCATGGTCTAAAGAGGGGAAAATGCACAGGATCTAAAACCTCTTGAGATCAACATCTCCATTTCAAGGCCACTTGTATAATGCAGAGAAACATCTCTCTGAAATAGAGAAAGAGAAAAGTTGGGATTTAGCATGTAGGGTGTGTGGAATAGCAGTAGCTAGAGACAATGTCTTCCAAAAATTAAAAAGAGGAGCATAAAACGTGCATGAAAGTTTCAGCCTCATAAAACTGCAATGACACAGCTGGTCTGTGATACAGATGCAGCTACCAGTTCTTCATTACCATTGAATGATGACTTTTCTGTATTTTTTAGTTCCCTTTAGAAAAAAACTGTCTTTAACTTTGAACTCCATAGAGCTGCTACTATTCCTTAATTTTTTTTTAACCCATGACCAATAGCGACAATTGCACTTATCTATAGTGTTAGGCAGCCAGTCACTGACAGAGGTGTATAAAAGTTCAGACACATAGAAAAACAAATCTAAGTCAAAGAAGCCTTCAAAGAAAAACCAGGAGAGGGACACTGCATTCTTTCTGCCATGAATGGACTTCATGTTTCTTGATGACTACGTCAGTATGACTCATTTGTGGAGAGCTCTAGATCTGCTGTCCTGGGTTACCTATTGATAGTGTCCCCTATTACTCTCAAAAGAGCCTCTGAATAATGTCTTAAGTATAATATTACCTTAGAAATTATCTTAATTACATATAATTGCCTTAATATATATAACCTAGAGAGGAATATAAATGTATTAACCCAATATTCCCATGTACAAATCTTCTCTAAAAGCAAGTTCAAAACCAGTATCATCTGTCCTACAAAGCCCTGGTAAGTCAATGGCATTTTAACTTATTTCAGTAAGAACTTCAGCAAGAACTGACCTTGTTAAAGCCTGCCAAGAGCTTCTGGTTCAATATTACAATTTGTCTTATGAATTTTGTTAGTTTAGTTCCTCCTGGATTATGGTAGCTGTAGAGCACAGGAAGTAGGTCATGCTGTTCAGAAGCTTTCATAAAGTGCCATTCATAATGTTTATTTATTGCCCAGGAATGCTTCTCAAGCCAGTCTCATAAAGGCCAACAATTACATTGACTTGTTAGTGTGTTAGTGACTCAGAGGAAACAAACATGATTTTTGTTTTTGTTTTCTTTTTTGAAGTTGGATTTGACATGTCAGAATTTATTGTTTTGAATATTATCATTATAATTCTTGTTACTGTATGTTATTTTCTTAAGCTTTGAAGGAAAATAAATATTAGAGAATATAAGAAAAAAAGAATGAAAGCTTCCTTATGGCAGAATAATAAAAATGGCTAATATTGCTGAAGGCTTATTAAATGCCAGGAACTTTTCTAAGCCATTTATGCATTAAAATTTATCCTCAGAAGAATCTTAGGAGGTAAAAGCAATATAAATTTCCCCATTTTACAGATGGTTAGGCTGAAGCATGAAGAGTTCAAATTACTTGTCCAAGCTCAGTCATACAGCTACTGAGTGCACAATCAGAATTTTATTCTAAATTTGAATCCAAAGCCGGCATCTTAGCACCTTCATACACTGCCTAACTAGACTGTGACCACATACCTAATTCAGCAAACACATGGGCACTAGGCTCTCCCAGACGTGAAATAGATTTGAGAGTCAGAGAATATTGCACTGAACTTCAAGTTGGCCTTAAAGGTTAGATGAGGTTTGACTAGGTGGAAGAGAGCACAAAACAGGAAAAAGAATGAAGGCAGGGATTAGCTTGATCATAGGTGGAGCAAGAATAGGATAAAGCATATGTGTTCTGGAGTACAGATGCTCTGGGGAATAGACTCCAGCAAGCACTGCCAGTCTCATCTGGCTCACAGCTGCTTTTGGTAATCAGACAGGATTATCTCCTGCCAGAGCACATGAGTAGTTGAGCTCAATGGCTCAAACTCTGAACCTGGGATCTACCACTAAATGGCACCTCAATCTGAAAGAATCTTACTTAGTGCCCACCCATCCTCCCTCCGTATAATCCACATCATACCTCCTAGGAGAGTTCTAGAAGAAATTGATTTGTATTAAAAAACAAGAACAGATTTCTTAGTATATTCCAATTACTTCTCATCCCCTGTACTAAGCATCTCTGTGTTCCCTTGGCAATTCTAATACCTGGTCTAACCCAAGACCCCAAAGTCATTCCCAAGAAGCTTTAGGTATTGTGAAACAGGTTGGTCTTGGTTTTTCAACCACAAACCATAAATTAAAACTTTATTTTATTCCCTGTCACAAAGTGAAATGAAGCAATGCATACAGTATTTCTAAATTTATAAATGGTAGGTCATAAAAACTATTGGAAATAATTTACAAAAAAAGGGTTAGATTCACACCCTATTTACTAAGTAATAAATTCTCCCACCTACTACTACTTCCCACATTACTAAATTCACATGAATACAGCATCTTCCCAGAGGACACAGAGGCTTATTCATAATAA